TTGGTTTGAAGGCAATCATAGATGTCCTGAACAAATGATTGCATATCCTTTTGCCACAAGTCTTGCGTATCTCTCAATATAACCAAATGCGAGGGTTTTAGGGATATATCATCTTTTGGGTCCCATTCTGTGGCCCTATTCTTATACATATCAATGCAATCCTCTTTTGATTTGACCACAAGTTTATAGTCGACATCGTATGGCATAATACGGAAGAGTGACATAATCTGATCCACTTCTTTGGCCAAAATACCGGTCGAGAGATTAATTTCAGTCACTTTTATCTCTCCGATTGTCACAAAGTTTTCGCACACAATATCGACCAGAGTTCTAATCATGTACTCATTCTTCTGGATCTGATTAACCAGATCTTTGTTGAGATCATATTCGGCACCGCTTTCTATATCTTTCAATACTTTCATCACTTCTTTACTGTTTTTTGAATTCTTGTTTTCGTCGACAACTTCTGTCAGTATTTTATCAAATATACGAAACAATACATGATTTTCGTTATTTGTTGTCCTATACTCTTGTATCACATCATCGCTAATGTTTTGGTAATTAAAATCGCATTTAATGTCTTTATATCCAATTAGTTTAATATTAGCGGCCATTGCTTTACACACCTGTTTGTTACGGAGTAAAAACATAACATTACTAAACGTCAATCACTTCATCAAACAAAACATACGCTCACTTACCTCTATATACTCCGTGACCACACGTTTATCAATGGCGTCAACGGCTTCGAGGTCTTCATTGGGGAAGAACTGATACGTGTCTAACACCAGATCCGTGCCGTCCGTACGTCTGGGTATAGGGAAGGCCATCAAGTCCTCCACTTCCAAGCCATGAGCGACCAGTCGTTTGGACTTTGCGTTGAAATGAAACGGCATATCAGCCGAGAAGACAAAGAAGCGCTCGTTCTTGCGGGTCATCTCCTCCTTGTATATGAAAAAAAAACTTCCATTTGGCATTAAGTATCCAATGTATTTCCTATGAACAATAATTAGTAGTCATAACTCAAAAAGTACTGGACCAATTTTTACAATTTATATATCAAATTGTACAGAATAAAATTTAATTCGAGACCTGTATCAGGATTTTTCTTATAAATGAGAGGAATCAAAATATACTCATATTTAAAGGGTAAAAATACAATATTCTAAAACCTTGCCATTTAAAAAATACTCATTCAATTTTAATTATCAGTATATCAAGTTAATCATAATTGAAACTAGAAAAATATAAATTTTTAATTTTTAAAAATTCCCATTGTAAACAATATTTTGAACTTAATTTCTAATTTTATATGCAAAAATAAGGCTTAAAATTAAAATATTAGAATTCAAAAAAATTATATTATCATATAATTAATTTGAACTAATTTGATATACTGATACTTAAAATTGAATAAGTATTTTTTAAATGGTAAGGTTTTTAAATATTGTATTTTTACCTTTTAAATATGAGTGTAGTTCGATTCGTCTCATTTATAGGAAAAATCCTGATACAGGTCTCGAATTAAATTTTATTCTGTACAATTTGATATATAAATTGTAAAAATTGGTCCAGTACTTTTTGAGTTATGACTACTAATCATTGTCCATAGGAAATACATTGGATACTTAATGCCAAATGGAAGTTTTTCTTTCATATAACTTTGACGTCTTTGAGGACCTTCTCGTCTTCTGTCATGCCTTTAGTGACCTCAACCATCTCTCCCCCAATCGATAACAGCGTTCCCAAGTTTTCCGCAGCAGACTCTTCGCTTTCCATAGACTCGATAGGCTTTTGCTCCACATTTCGGTTCCGAATGACGTTCTCGAAGAACACACGCGGGTCCACACGTATGGTCCTAATCATCACCGGAACCATGAGTTTACGGAATG